GAGTTCTGGAAAGGGAAGAAGGTCTGGGTGTCCTGTGTCTTTTCACGCCAGTTAGGAAACGGCACCGTTGGGTGCAGCTGCTCTGGCCTCACAGAGGGAACGTGGGGTCGAGCATGGCAGAGCCACCCACCAGCCGTGGACAACTCAGCTCCAGTGGAGATTGTCAGTTCTCCAGGACAGCTGGTGGGCATCTGGGACCCTGTCTTCAGAAGGCCTGCTCAAGCCCAAAGAGAAACCATTAACCCACTGCATTTTGAGATCTTTTAGCTACAGCAGCTTAGCTTGTACCCTAAGTCACCGTGTGACCTCAGGCAACGCACTTTACTTCTCTGAGCCTCAGTTTCCATCTGTAAAATGGGGTAAGGATAGAACCTGCTAGGATTCAGAGATGGTGCCTGTAGAACTAGCTTGGCGAAGGCATACAGTCAATGCCCGCTATCTCCACCCAAGTCCCCCGGCTGACCGTGTGCAGGAGCCACTCTGAACTGTTCACTCTCCTCCTTCTGATCCCCCCCGTGGCACTCAGCTTGGGCAGTGGATGCAACAAGGCTCTGGACCCAGATTTATCCAACAGGATGTGGATGCCTTTCAGACAACCCTTTCCTGCATTTTACAGGTTGTGACACTGAGGTCTAGAGAGGGGCAGGAGTTTGCTTCAGCTCCACAGCGACTCAGGCAGAGTGGTGGCTGGATCCAGGCCTTGGCAGGCACTGGGGTGGGAGGTGATCTCTGGTGTAGGTGTTCGGAGGGCACATTCTCCCGCCACGTTCCCCCTCGCTCACTCTGCTCCAGCCACACTGGCTTCCCTGTAGTTCCTTGTTACCACCTCAGGGCCTTTGCACTTGCTGTTCCCCTAGTGGGCCTATTCTTCCCATAGTTCTTCCCCTGGCTGCCTCTTCCTCACCTTATGTTCATCCTCAATTTAAGTATCATCTCTTCATGAGAGAGGCTTTCCCTGATCACCCTAAGTTAAGCCCCCTGTAATCTTTTATCTCTACCCCCTATTTATTTTATTTGCAATATATAAATCTGTTAATTTAGTTTTTAAATTTAAAAAACTCTGGTTTTGGCCAGTCTGTCCTTGTTGCCTGTTAAGCTCTGTGAGTCCGGACCTGTGGCTGTGTGTCTTGTTCACTGCTCCATCCCCGTCCCCCATCCAGGCCCTGACCGCAGTGCACTGTTGCTATGTGAATAAATGCGTGTGTGCCAGGCCTGGATGTCCACCACGTCGACCTTGCCCGACTTCCGTGTGAACTAGATCCCAGTCTCCTTGTGTAGAAGTGGGAAGGGAGGTCTCACCAGGTAGGGCAGGAATGCGGTGGATACTACAGGCCTTTGGACTTCCCTGCCCTCAGGCCACACGAGGACATCAGCAGTGTATGCCCACATTAGTCTAACACAAGAAAGGAACATATTTCTGCTGGACATGGCCTGGACCAGATTCCATTCTCTGAAGGGCTGCTCCATCAAATGATGCTACTGCTGGTGTTGCCAAGGCAACGCTGATGGCTTTCTGAAGTGGTTTTAAATGGGAGAGGTGAAGCTCACACAGACATGGAGACATGGAAAATCTGGAAAAAGGGGCCAAATCCCCCAGCCACCAAGACACCCATTCTTATGCTGGCTGTTCCCCTATTCCCTGCGAAGGGCCACCTTCTACCTTGCCCGTGGCTGTCGTGTCTGGGGTGTGCACAGTGACCTCTCTCCCCCAGCATGGAGACTGCCTTTGCTGGGAACATGCAGGGATCTCAAGAACGTTGTTCTGTCTGTCTGGCTCCATCAGGACCTACCAGGTGCCAGTGGGAAAGACAGACAGGTCTTGGAGAGCTTTCCAGAAAGTTCCTTCAGCCCTTGATATTGGTGGAGGAGACACCAGTCTGACATTTTTTGTAGTCACTGCCAAAATGCCTCCAGAGAGCTCTGGAAGAGGGAGGCAGCTTATAGAGTCATGTGCACTGTGGTGGTGACTGGCCACCTTAGATGAAACCCTTTCCCTCTCTGAGCTCTAATTTCTTCACTAAAATGGAGAGGACCGTGGTCTGATGTAGGAAGAGGTGACAAGAATTCTGCACAGGAGCCTGCAGGTGCAGGTATCCCAGAAGCCAGTTCCTATGAGCAGTGGCCCCTTGGAGACCTGGCCAGGGCCAAGGCCGCACCAGCCATGTCCCCCACAAGGTCTTGTGCTGCCTGGAGTCCTTCAGCTGGTCTGTCTGCAGCCATCATGAGTCAGCACCATTGTCAGAGGGCCCTTGGAGGTCTGCAGGTGTTCCATCATTATCGCACAGATGGAAAATGGAGGCTCGGAGGGGGCCAGGCTGTTCCAGGGACAGAGCCAGTACTGTGAAGCAGGGTCTGACGTTTCCTGGGCAGGACACAGCTGTGTCCTTGATAGTCTGGGGCAACCTGGGGATGAGCTGGAGCCTGGGGCCAGGCCTTGGGGTCAGGGAGGCTGGCAGAGGAGGCATAAATGGAGAGAAAAGAGATGGGAGTTGCAGAGACGGACAGAGAAAAAGTGGTGACTGGTTCTTGCTTTCCCACCATCACTGCTTCCTGAAACAGTGTCTGTTTCCCCACGCTGGTCTACATGACTTGGGTAGGACTGACCCCACCCCCTGATTCCAGGCATGATCATGTGACGAGGTCTGGTCAATCAGAATCACAATGATAAGTGCAGGAGTGGGCACAGGACCAGTCCTGGCTGGAGAGAATTATGCCTTTGCTGGGACAGGGGAGCTCTCTGTCTTAGAGATGCTGAGCTGGGAGGACATGAGCCTAGGGCTGGTGGGGCCCTCTGTCAGGACAGAACATGACTGGGAATGAAGTCAACGTGGCAGATGGCAGAACCAACAGATGAAGAGGGACACCATTTGAGCCCCTGGATCTAACCGCACCTGAATCTACTTCCAGACTTCTTGTTATGTGAACCTTGTTATGTGAGGACTTCTGTGCCTTGCACTGGAGAGCCTGGGCTTGGAGTAGGAAGGAACAGGAGAAGGAAGGGTAAATATTTAAGAACAGGTGCCTGGGGGTAACCCAAATCAGCTTCTTGAACTTTTTAGAGAACTGGAGTGCAGACAGACATTTGGGCCTTCACCCCAAATGAGGAGTCTGTCCCTGGGGCTCACAGCTTTGCCCTTGTCTCCTCTCCAGCACATAATATAAAATAAATGCTGTGGCTACAGCAATATATTGGATGGGGCAGGAAGAGATGGGTAGGGTCTCGGTTTAGACCTGGGAGGATCTGGACCTGGAGATTGGTGTCCTGCCCGAGGCAGTGTGGACAGTCCCTGGCAGTGCCTGTACTTGAGCCTGGGTGAGCTGGGCTTAGGGGGGTTGCTGACCTTACCCGGGTCCAGGAGAAGGGATGACATGCACTAGGGGTCAATTTCTCACCCCATTCAGCTCTTTGGGAACTAATATTTATTAGGCACCTGCTTCACGCCAGACTCTATTCAGAAGTTGACATACATGGTCTCATCTCCTCCTTGCCACAGCCCAGAGAGGAGAGTGTCATCAAGTCCAAAGAACTGGAGCAGGTCTGTCTGACTCCAAGCCTTACCCACAGTACCACAGTGCACATGGTAGGCCTCAATGGGACCGGAGACGGTGACACAGTGATGGGGGTGGGGTGACAGAGTGACTGTGGCCCCTCTCTGATTGTGTCCTCTGAAAGAAGCCCCTGGTCTTCCAGACCCCCAGCTGTAGCATCACACTGGATGGGGCAGGAAGAGATGGGTAGGGTCCCGGCTTAGACCTGGGAGGATCAGGACCTGGAGATTGGTGTCCTGCCCGAGGCGGTGTGGACAGTCCCTGCCAGTGCCTGTACTTGAGCCTGGGTGAGCTGGGCTTAGAGGGGCTGCTGAGGGCCTAGGCAAAGAGCTGGCTTTCTGGGGCCAGAAGGAGCCTTGTAGAATACTGGCCGGTAGCACAGACAGGAAACTTAGTTCTAGAGCGGTTCTCAACCTGTGGGTCACGACCCCTTTTGGGGTCGAATGACCCTTTCACAGGGGTCACCTAAGACATATCAGTAGCAAAATTACAGTTATGAAGTAGCAACAAAAATAATTTTATGGTTGGGGATCACCACAATATGAGGAACTACATTAAAGGGTCGCGGCATTAGGAAGGTTGAGAACCACAGTAGACCCTTCTTCAGGGATGGTGTGTGTCTGTTTGAATCCAAAGTTTCCTTCCACTGTTTTTAGAGACTGTTTGAGACCTTGACTGTGGCTTTTTAGTCAGGAAGGATGAGCAGTAGCTGGGCTGGGAAATGGTGCCCTAGACTCCTCCTCATGACACTTGAGAATTAGCTTTATCCACGGACATCCACAGCCCGGAGAGATGTTCTGGAACAAACAGGGCCCGTTTTCAAATAAGTAAATTTGGAGAAAGCTGCCCACTCTAGCCCCTTCATGGGCAATCACAAAATACATGACATTAAAGGCTCTGACAAGTTCTGCAGCTAAGAATGCCCATTCACTTTGATTTAACCTGGCTCTTCCCTCTCTCACTTGACCATAGAGAGGAGTCCGAGTTATTCTCTGTGGAACATGTTCTGGGACCTTCTAGGGGTAAAGGAATCTCTTTTGGATCTCCTAGAGCCCCTGACAGACCAGGGCTAAGCTGGGAGTGGTGGACAGTGTGGGGTGGAAAGAATGATTCCTATTATGGGGTAGATGCAGCCCCTTCGGCCTTGAACAGACAGTTCAAGGACATCTTAAGGCTGAGAAAGGTTGAAACAGGCAATGGCCTGCCGCCAACCCCAGGGACAGAACCTGGCCTCCCTCTGAGCAGTTTCCTGCCCGCACAGACCTTCCTACCCACCTGGAATTCCACCACTAGCCAGGCGTTCCTGTGAGGAGCCAAGCTGTCTGTTCTCAGCTCACTCAGGGTCACACTGTGACCCTCCAGCTGGCTGAAGGCCCTGAAGAGGACTGGAGAGAAGAGGACAAGAGGAATCCTGCAGAGATAGGACCCCCAAATGCCCACCATGTCACAACTTGGGAACTCCTGGGGCAGGAGGGCTGGCTCATGAGACCCAGGTGGCCAGGACCGGGCTCTGGCACTTGTCTTGTGCTGGGCCCAGCTTGTCCAGGGGATCCTAAGTCCTGCCTCCTCTGTGTCCAGCCTCTACGCGCAGCTGCCGTCAGACGCCAACAGGGCGCACCATCATGCGAGCGGCGCGCAGCGAGTAGCTGGGGCCCTGGAAGTAGTGCCAGCGGATGCCGTTGAGCTTGCGCAGGTGGCGGCGGGCTGGGTAGTAGATGCCATTGAGGTTTGAGAGGCCGCAGGCGTCAAACCACCACCCTGGTGGAGGGGAGGAAGAGGCTTTGGGGAGCTGGGGGCCCACCAGTGGGGTGAGGGCAGCCCCCTCCTCCAAAGACTAATCAGGCTGTTGCCTCCTCCAGGAAGCCAGCTCCCAGGAGACAGGGCTGGGTGGGAGAGGACACGGGGGATCGGAGGGGGACTACCAGACCCTCTACCCAGCCTGGAGCCTCTGGAGGGTGATGCTGGGCGTTAGCTGGTATTCTTGGCCTCTCCACCCCTTCGCCCTTCCCTCAATTCCTCTATGTCCCTGTCTCCCTCCCCTGCCGTCCTCCTTCCCACTCCCTCAGTCTCCATCTCCCTCTATGGGTTTCTAATGCTCCCTGTCCTTCTGCGTCTCTAACATCCTGCGTTTGTCACTTTCTCTCTCAGATGGTCTCTGTGCTTGTCTGTCACTCTGTGGGTATCCCTCAAACCGTGCTCATCTCTCTCTGATGGTCACTCTCTGTCCTTCTGGGTCTGTCTGTCTCTCCTACACTGTGCTTCCTTCTGTCTTTCCCTGATCTGTATTTCTCTCCACCTCTTCCTGTGCACTTCTATCTCTGTCTCCACCACTCTGTCTCTACGCCAGTTCTGGTGTTTCTCTCTGTTTCCATCTGTACCTGTCTCCCGGTCTCCGGGGTTCTCTCCTGTCTCCCCCCCTGTGGGTGAATGGGGCTTCACCGAACCCTTCACCCACCTCCGGACAGCATCTGGGCGCACTTGCAGAGGCAGTTGTCATTGTCTGCGTCACGGGTGCTAAAGTTGGTGCCCTGCAGGACCAGGCTGCTCTGGCGCCCCGCCGAGCCACTGTACCCGCTCAGAGAAAGCCTGGAAGCCACCCGGAGGTGGCGGTGGGAGAAGAGCCCAGAGTCAGGTTGGGGCTGGTTGAGGATGGGGCTCTGATCTGGTTGTTCTGGGGGGGAGCCTCAGCCTGGGGTGCTTGGGCCATCTCCCCTCCTGGATTGCCTCCCTACTGCTGTGTCTCAGGGACTGAGCACCCACTGTGTGTCAGGCCTCCCTCACCTCGCTGAACCTGAGTCTTACACAGGAGTGAGCATGATCATAACAATAATAGTGAGGACAATGATTAATATTTTTTAAAACATCTACTATGTGCCAGGCATTGTTCAAATCACTTTACATGGGCTAACTCAACTCATTTAATTGTCACAATACCGCTGATTCCCATTTTACAGATGAGGAAACAAAGATCCCAAGAACCAAAGGAGCCTGCCTAAGGTCTCAAAATGAATGAGGGTGAGAGCCAGATCCCAGCCCAGTGGGGCCTGACTTGGAAGCTGTGTACATTTTCTCAACAGCTGACCATTTGCAACCCCAGCACCATCCTAACTCCTCACATCCACCCACCTCCTGTAGGAAGCCTTCCCTGACCACACCAGCCCACATCTGTGCCCTGGGTGAACCCCTGTCCCTGCGACTTCCACATCTGCAGCCAGCTGGGGAGGGTTTATATTCCTCTGCCTGTGAGTCTCAGCTCTGCCACTTGCCAGTTGCATGACCTAGGGCAGGCTGCTTCTCCTCCCAGCTTCAGGTCCTTCATCTGGTAAGGTGGTGATGACGGTATGTTCACAGTGTGGACTTGGGTCAGCTATTGTGATTCGATGACTTCTGCGTGTGATGACTGCAAAGCGGAGCTGGCACACGATAAATGCTCGGCACAGGTAGTGCTGCCTGTTATCTGTCCCTGTGTTCCCGGCCCTTGGCGCGCAGCTGGCACAAGCTTCCACTTAGCCTGGTTGGAGAGTGTTGGGTGCTAGTAGCAGAGAAGGGGCTACACTGGCCACTGAGACAAGGAGCCAGCGTGGGAGCAATTAAGAAGGTCCCTTGAGTGAAGGCAAGTGGATGCGAGATGCAGCAGGGCAGCTCAGGGAAGCTCTGGTTCTTCCAGGGCAGGGCCTGGGAGATTTTCCCAGTGGGATCCAGGAGAAACGTGGGCCTGGGCATATGGCCTGGCTAGGTCCCTGCACCTCCCACCCATGGGCTCTGTCTGTGGTGAGGCAGGAGCATGGCTCTCAGGGTCCAGATTGCTCTTGCCAGTCGTGAAGCTCTAAATGTGCCCTTAAACATGCCACCTGTGGCTCAACTGACTGGTGCTGCAAACTGCCCTGCCAGGGAGGGGACAGGCAGGCTGGCCCACCTGCTAACATGGTCTTGGCTTTTCCTTGTGGCCTTTGAGGGCTCTTCCTGAGGGCTCAGTGATATCAGTTCAAAGCCAGGCTCAGGGCACAGGCTAAGGTTTGGGGTCATACTTAGGTTGGGGCTGTGTGAAATCAGGGCTGGACAAAGCCTATTGTTCTCACAGGTCACTCCAACAGCACTGGCATCTCTCTGGTGCCCAAGTTCTCAACTTAGCCTCGGCCTCTCTTCCTCTCCTCTTTGAGTGCCAGTGTAGGGATCTGAGATCTCTGGGGGAACCCCAAGTCATGGACCAGGAAACCTTACTTGACCCAATGTTCAGATGCACTTTGAATATGTTCATAGCTCAGTCTTGGGGAACCCAAACAAACACATGCATCTCTGGGGATCCCCAAATTAGACACATCAGGTATGTCTTTCATGTGTCTGTGGATCTGTGCATGAGTCTGTGTGTCTGTGGTGTGAGCATTTGGATGCCACCTTCCTGTATGATGTGTGCTTATTTTGAGTTTGTGCTGGAATATCTATTGTGGGTCCTGGGTGTGCTCTGAAACCTGACTTTGTGTCTGGGGTTGTGCGTCTTTACCTGTGAGGGCCTCTGTGAAGGACATTTGCACTTGTGTCTGGGTCTGTGCCTGTGCTTATTTGTGTAGCTTTGCAATTGTGTGATGTTGTGCTCTATTTGTACCCCAGGGCTACGGTGAGCCCTGCACATGTGCATGTGTGTCTCTCTTTCACTTGTAATCAGGTCTGGGTGAATGAGTGCCTCTGGGAAGCATGTGCCCAGTGTCTGTGTATGTGCCTGGGGTCTTGTCTGTGTCTCCCTCTCCCTCCCCACTGACCATTTTCTCTTCAGGCTTATGCATGTGCCACAGCTGGGCTCCAGAAGTCCCCATTATTGTGACTGACAAACAACGATGCTCCTCCCACCCTTGCCTCAGCTGCTGACTGCCAACACATTGCTCCGGGTTTCCCTACGAGGATCCTCCCAATTTCACCAGCTAGCTGATCCTGCATGGTGGTGGCACAGGGACCAGCGTCTGCTCTGTCACTCTCCCCCTGGCCCTCCTTTGGTAGTTTCCAGGCCCCACTGTGCTTTGTAGAATCTCTACCCCGGTCTCCTAGCTTTTCCTGAATGAGCAAGGATTCTCCCTTATGATCTCTGCAGCCCTTGGAAGAGCCTTGCTCAGGCTTCGGGCATCTGTGGCCAGATGAATGTCAACTGTCTGTCTTTTTTCAGAAAATTCCCACTGCCTGGCACACTTTTCCTATTCTCTCTTTGTCTGGCTAATGCCCACCCATTACAGGCATCACCCCAGTGCCTGTTTCCACATCACTGACATAGGTATAGCAATGCTTACCTCAGGGTGTTGTGGGAGGTTAAATAAAGTAATGTGCCTGGAATATGGTGGGTGCTCAATACATGCTCATCCCTTTTCCTAAACAGAGCCAAGAACCAGGTTGAGGGAGGGAGACCTCGATGATTTCATAATAAGCTCATAGTTAAGCTCATCCTGTTGTTAAAAGCAGAGGTGCAGAGAAGCCAGAACCTTGACTCATCCAAGTTTACAAAGTGAGCTAGAGCAGAACCAGATGAGCCCAGGTCCCCGTTTCCCAGCCAGGGATCTTTCCATTTCACCCCGCAGCATAGGGCAGTCTGGGAAGTCACTTCTCCTCTCCTGGGCCTCTATAAAATGACTGTCTTAGGGTGACTGACCTTGGAAGGCCTGCCCTGCTCACAAGATGGAAGCATCAGCAACACTGTCTCCACCCCACCCAGTGGCTGGGATGTGCTGAGTGCTAACCAGCTGCCTCCAGATCCTGTGACGTGCGCCCAAATGGGGGACAGATGGTAGGAACAGGAAACACCCAGGGACTGACCTTTGGTGCAGACTCTGTAACCACTAGCCCAGGGTGCCCAGTCCACCCACCAGCCTGGGCCCTAAGCGCACCTGTATAGCTGCCCCTCGCTGCCCAGCTGGAAATGCTCATACTGGGCATGGGCCTCATTGCCTTCCCAGTCTTGCAGCTCCACGCGTAGAGAATAGGCTGTCCTGCTGGTGAGCTGGTGCACCAACTCATTGCCCAGCCAGTGCTCCCCAGCCAGGTCTCCAAAGCCCTAGGAGGAGAGGAAGATCAGGGTGGGCTGTGTGCTGAGGAGTGAGGCTGTGCCCCAGACTGAGGGGCTGGGCTGGGCCGGGGTGTGGGTCACTTATCCAAAACCGCTTTGCCTGATGGTCAAGTTCACAAAGTACAGTGTGGGTAGACTTGGGGAGAGGGGAGCTCCCCAACTCCTAGAGCAAAAATATTAAGACTTTCACCAATGTAAAAGCCTGTTAAACATAATTGAATCACGTTCTATTAAGGTTAAGAATAGGCTAATCTGAGTTGATGGAAATCACAATAGCGACTTCCTTTGGGGAAGTACTGACTGGGAGGGGGCACAAGAAGGGCTTCTGGGGTGCTGGGAGTGTCCTATATCTAGCTCTGAATGGTGGTCATGTGGGAGAACACATATGAAAAATTTACCGTCTTACACTTAAGATTTGTGCATTTGGTGCATGTATGTTAAGTCTCGATTTAAAAATGAAAGATTCTAATCAACTGAATAAATGATAGAGCAAACTTTTTTCAGTGACATGTAAGCCACTGTAAAATTTCAGCAACACAGAAATGTAAAAAAAAAAAAAGAGGGGAGAAATCACCAGTGACCTCGGGTGACAAGAAACCAACGCCCTCGGCTAGAACTATAATTCAGCACCAAGGACAGGGCACGCCTAAGCCCCACTCCCCATTATAGCCTGGCTGTGCCGCTGAGGATCTTTTTTTTTTTTTAATCCTCACCCGAGGACATTTTTCCATTTTTTGTTCATGTAGAGTGGGAAGGAGAGAGAGGAACAGAGAGAGAGAGAGAGAGAGAGAGAGAGAGAGAGAGAGAGAGAGAGAGAGAGAACATCGATGTGAAAGGAACACATCGAGTGGCTGCCACCTGCACAACCGACCAGGGCCGGGGACAAACTGCAACCGAGGTACGCGCCCCTAGCGGGAACCGAACCCGGGTCTCTCAGGACCGCAGGTCGACGCTCTAACCGCTGAGCCAAACCGACCAGGGCTCGCTGAGAATCTTAATGGTCAATCCGCAGCACTCTTTTGTGTATTTCTGCATCTAAGCACCCTATATCTCTTTGCTATTTTAACGACTGTTTTAAACCCAACAGGTTCAAGAACACTCAGCTTAATTTGGTATTTATTTTTATTTATCAAATGGACAGCAAGCAGACATAAAACCTAATATTGTTGTATTTCCTTCTGAGTATCTTTGTTCATTTCATTTGCTTTTGAAAACTGTAAGAGCTTTTCAGTCAGCTTGCCAAAAACCCTTTATTCAAAATTTAATTAAGAATTTGAAAGACAATTGAGAGCTATTTCTCATCTTGTAAAATGCACATGGTCTTTGAGCCAGAAATTGCACATGACAAAGTCTCTCCTGCAGATGTGGTCACATATGTGTACAAAGAAGAGGAAATTCATTTCAGCAATGCAGCCAGGGGTGGGAGAGGGAGATTACTATTTTTCTGTTCCCTTTCTTTGTATTCTTTAAAAAAAAATTAGCAATGTATATATATCATCTGTTCTAAAAATTAAAACAAAAAGAAAGTTAAACTTTCATTATTTGATATATGTCAGAACTGCAAAAAAAAAAAAAAAAAAAAAGCCCCCTCTCAGGGCAGCAATGTTACCTGTTTATAATCTTTCCAGTTCCGCTGAAAATTCACGCTGCCATTCACACGGCGCTGGATGAGGGTCCACCCACCTCCACTGGCATCCATGTCACAGAAAACCTGAGAGATTGGGAGAGATTGGGAAGAGGGGGTTGAGGGCACTTGGATACAGCCAGAGCCAGGTATGGGTCAAGTGTGATCTGGCTAAGAGAACCTCACATAACAGTGGCTGAGCCTGGTGGTCAAGGGAATCAGAATGATCCAGGTTCAAATTCCCACTCATTGTCATCATTTTTCTAGAGGGCAGGTAACGTCCACTCAGAGCCTTTCTTTTCATATCTGTAAAATGGGGTAGTAATACCTTAACCTCCTTGTGCCTCAGTTTCTCATCTGCAAACTGGGGTTATTGTGAGAATTAAATGAGGTGAATCATTTAAAGAACAGAGCCTGGCACATACTAGGAACTAAACAAATGCAGGCTTTTCACTTGCTGATATTGCAGGGTTACTGTAAGTATTAAATGCTGATAGGTATAGAGTGCTTGGCACACAGTATAGATTCAAAAAATGCTATTCCATTCAGTGGACAAATGTCTTCTGAGCACTTCCTATGGGTTGGGCTCCATTCAAGGCACTGGGTGCCACTATGGGTAAGACCAAAAGAGTTCTTTCTCTCAAAACGCCCACTATCTATGACAATCACATCTTTCAGTCTAAACCTTGTTCACATATTATTTTTTCTAGTTCATTACATGTTCAATGAGGACAAACTTGGTGCCTATCCCTGGATGGGAAGAGTCAGAGACAAATCAGATATAAATTGACCCTCAGTGTTGGCTTGGTTTGGAGGAGGCTATGATAATGCAGGCAGACTATTGATGACAAACATTTGGGCAGCTACAAGGAGAGCCCTTAAAGAGTCATTGGAAAACCCTGGAAGGCTTCCCAGAAAAGGTGGCATTGGAACAGGGCCTTGGCTGATCATGTGCCTGCCAGGTAGAGATGAGACTGGCATCTCCAGTGGAAGGAACAGCAGGAGCAGAGGCTCTGAGGTGGAAAAGGCTTGCTCAGTAAGAAAAGATGAAGGTGCAGGAAGAAAAACTGAGACCCAGAGAGGGGAAGGGACTTGCTCAAGGCAAGGGCGTCTGAAGGAAGCTGAGGTTTGAGCCCAGATCTCTTGCCTCCCAGGTCAGCTCTTCCCTCTCTATTAGTGTCCCCACATTTCAGCCATTCACACCTCCCCAAATTCCACCAAGGCTAAATATGCTTAATTTCATATAGAATATTTACTTTAAAATGGTATCCCCCCTTTTTACTTCTATAATTACTTAGACTAAATATATTTTAAAAGGACATCTTATCCGTACCGTAAGTGTAAAACTAGCAACACTTGCCTTTGTTCAGATCATTGTAAAATAAATATGATGAAAAAAAAAAATAGTGTTATGAAATTATAGCTAGAAATAGAGAGACTGACCTCTCTTTGTTAAAGGGGAGGTCTGGCAGGTATGGTAAAGACAATCTGGAAACAAACAGAGCCATTCTCCTTGATATATTCAGAAGGGTTGAAAGGAGATGGAAAAGGGAAGTATGAGGTGTGAAGACCGGCAAATTGTCCCCCAGATCTTTCCACTACTGAGCCTGGCCCCTAAACCCTCCTTCCTGACCTCCACACTTTCCCTTGACTCCCCTCCCCATCTGATCACCAGACCTCAAAGCTCAGGGTAACCTTAGGAGCCACTCCCTGAAGATGGTCCCTAATTTCCCATGTGGAGCAGAGAGCCCTCACACCTGCCTTCAACCTGCGTGAAACTAGAGATAACTTCTTTGTGTGAAGACCCTGGAATTTCAGGGTCTGTTTGTTACTTCAGCAGGCATTACTTTAACCAACACAAAACTGTTTCCCGAGATTCCGACTTAAAAGCATCTCTGGAGAAAATGCAGGAGAAGGATGCACTTCCCACTTTGGGGACTTCAGCTTTAACCCCATGACCTGACTGGGTGGGGATTCCAGAAGGAAGGGCCACCTGCCTTCTTTGGAATCTAAGACGATGGGGGAGGGGTATTTGCCTATGAGCCCCTTGGCTCAGTACCTCTGATAGCCTCAGCCCCCAGAGAGCCCCCTAACCTTCCTGGGCTCTGTCATATTGGCCACGTGGATGGTGTAGATGCCACTGGCGTTGGCCCCGAAGCGCTGGATCTCTGCGCAGTCCTGGAACACCTGCTCAGCTGCCCTCATGGAGGCTGCAATGGGACAAAGCAGAAACAACTGGAAGTGAGCTAAGAGGAGAGGGAAGAGGCCAGGGGAGCCTTTCTGCCTGCCCTGTGCCAGGTTCTGGCTTGGGAGGCGCCGAGGACAGGGAGATGAATCAGACCTGGGAAGGTTTCCTAGAGGAAGTGACAGTGAGCTGGGTAAGGAGCAGGAGTTGCCCAAGTGGCGAAAGAGAGAGTGTTCCAGGCAAAGGGAACAGCATATGCAAAGGCTCCCAGGTGGGCCCAGTCCTGGTGTGTGCAGGGATCTGGGTGCTGTGAGGGGACCTGAGTGAGGCCAGGAGGGTAAATGACTCACAGCATGAGGACAGGATTGAGGCCAGAGAGAGCGCAGGTTGTTTGACCAACCTGAGAGGGGTAGGGCAAGGCTGGCTCAGAGAGGTCCTCAAGGAAGGTCACATGAGGAGGGATTTGACCTTAGAGCTTCCTTGAGTGGGAGGCCCAGGGTCCCCTCCACAGCCCACCCCTCCAGCTGGATATCCCTGTGGTCCTGGAGATGGGCTCTTCACTATGCCCCCAACTCGGAGCTGATCACTTGAGAGCCCATGTTTCTTCCCTCAGAATACTAATGACCGAATTCCACTAGCACCCTGGGAAACTTGGGTGCAATCTGAAAAAAAGTGACTGTTGACAAAGAGAGGGGGATTAAAATTCCCCTCTCTGCCTCCTGTTAGTGAGATCCAATTAGAGGTTTGAGCTACAGGTGCACCAAAATCCAATCTCTAGGTAAGTGGTTATCTAAGGATGGGGCTAAAATTCCAGACGGATGGGTATCCTCACCAGTGAGGAACCAGGAGGCTACTGTGGGGGTGGGGGTGGGGGTGGGTCCTGTTTTGGCCTCATACTTGAACCTGGATCCCAGGTCCTACAGCTGGGGCAATTAGAAAGAGGCAGTTTTTCCTAGATCACAAATGAAACCACTAAGGCCCCAAATCCCCCGTGCTTAAACATTTCCTGGGCAGAGTCTCTGCGGCCCCAGCTCTCAGCCTCCTGGTCCGTGGGAAGCTGCAGCCCAGCTGAGCCTGGGGAAGGTGCCGGCCTTGAGGTGAGCAGGCACAGGACCAACCTGACCAGCCAGTGAGGGCCGAGCTGAGAGTTGATCTCAGATTTCCAGCCAGCTTTCCCAAGGTTCTGTCCACTGTTGTCTTCCTCAGTCAACTACATGGTGATAACAACAACAACAATAAAAGTGAAATATTCACTATTTTTGTAGTTTCTTAGCCAGGTGCTGCCAGGGGCAGTATGGGGCCAGGAAACATAATTTTGGGGCTTATAACAGTAAGGATGGGATGATATTGACATCCAACATAGTTGGCTTCAGCCTGGGTCCCTTTGACTCTCTAGGCTGGTCATTTGTACAGCTTTGTCCCATTTAGGTCCTAGGCACTGTGCTCAGCCCCTTCGTGTACATGAACTCATCTGGTTCTCTGTGTAACAACTCCGTGAAGTAGGTGCTATTATTATTCCCATTGTATAGGTGAGGAAAATTGAGGCTCTGAGTCATTAAATGACTTGGGCACAGTCCCACTGCTAGTAAGTAAAGAAGCCAAAGCTTGAACTGTGGTCCATCTGACTGCAAAACCCGTGCCCTTCCCACTGCCCACCTCCTCTTGGGTCTCCACCGCGGAGCCTACACAAGGCTGAGCACACAGACCACGTTAACGAACGCTGCTTCTGATATCGTGCATGCGTTAGGTTTTTTCTACCTGTGTCCTCGTCCTTCTAACCTTCTGAGCGCCCTGAGTTCTCCACCCATAGCCAGCCTCCACCTCCCTAGGACAAAGCAATACAGGGTGGGGTGGGGGTGGGGGGATGCAGGCTTCCTGCTAAACTCCAAGGATGCCTAGTTCCTGTGCCTGTCTCCATCTAATTTTCTGCTCTACACCTGGTGACTAATCCTCTTTCAGTTTCTCCATTTAGATGGGGAGGAGACACAACGCTGTACTACCCTTCCCTGGTGACAGTGTGGCAGGAGGACAGGGCCTTGGGCAAAGATGAAGTGTCCAACACCACTTTCCCCCAACTGGTGAGCAGACATTGGGCCACAGCTGGAGACTGTTAGTGGTGAGCCTGTGGGGAGAGGTGTCTTGCTGGGGCTCCGTGCACTGAGCTGAGCGATAAGACATCTACAGGTGGGATTAATCTTGGCAGCCTCCCTGCCAGGATGATGTACCAGCTGGTGATGGGTTCAGATCACTCTATATCTCATGGCTTTGAAGGTATCCACCTCTCCTGCCCATAGCTTTCTCTGGTCTCAAACCCCTACCCAGCAGGGTTTGCCTGACTCAGATGGAGCCATGATGCCATCCTATGTCCCCAAATTGCTGCCAGCCACAGTGCCTGGCATCCAGCATTGTTGCTAGATTCCTTGCTCTTAAAGGCTTTCCAGGCTCCTTTAGGGCGACCCAGTGGCAGTAGGAACCCTTTCCTGGGTCTTTCTCTCTCCCCAAGCCATCCTCGACTCCATGGTTCTGATGAAGCTTCCTAAAACATCCTACCCTGTTCATGGCTCCCCCAAAGTTCCCTTTCCTTAGCACAGCCTTTTAGGCCTTTTGTGGTCTGGAAGGTTCAGAAACTGTTAGCAGAGCATCTGGCAACAGTAGGCACTGAACAAACATGCATTTCCTTCTTCCCTCAGAGACCCACAGACAGGGGGTGGGCAAATTGGCAAGAGACACAACCATGACTATATTGTTCACTGCTGATGCCCAGCACCCAGCGCCCAGCACTGGGCCTGGCACAGAGTGGGTGCTCAGGAAGTGTTTGAAGTTGGAACCAGGAATACCTTGGCCACCCACAGTGGGCCCCATTAGAAGGAGCCAGTGAGGAACAGGGAATGGGCCCTTGCATTGTTCTCCCTTCTCAGAAGTCAGGGCCAGAGGTGCCACCTCACTTCTGTTTGGCCCTCTTGGGCTCATGGGCAAGGGTATTAGGAGGAGAGAAGTCCTTGGGGGAGCACCGAGTCCAACTTCCCCATTCTATAGGCAGAGAAACTGAGACCCAGGGAGGGGTGGGACAAGCCTGAGCAAGTGGCAAGAAGTATGGATCCTGGATCCAAAACTGTTAGGCTAAGCTGGTGGTGTCCTTGTTGTAATCATCATTTCCATTAAACAGATGGGGAAACTGAGGCCAAGAGAGGGAAAGGGGCATGCCCAAGGTTACTCAGAGAATCAGGGAGAAGTCTGGATCGGTTCCTGTTAGGAGTGTTGTCACCAGTATTATTATTGTTCGTTGTTATTTCTTTCACAAGTGGTGGGAGAAGGGTGAGGCCTTTCCCTTGGTGGCTTCCAGGCCCGACAATGGGAGGGTAAGCAGGGAATGAGCCCACCCACTCCTGCCTTCTTCCGCGCCGGGCGTTCCCCGCTCACCCGGGTCCTGGGCCGCCACGCGCACCAGGCGCTGCACGGACTCCAGCAGCTGGCTCTGCTGGTGCTGCAGGAGGCTGGAGTTGCTGCTGGCGATGCGCAGGCTGCGCTCCAGGCCGGCGAGGGCGCCGTTCTGGCGGCTCAGTAGGCGCTGCAGCCGCTCCTTCTCCCCGCGGAGGCTCGCCAGCTCCGCCTGCTGCTTTGTCTCCAGGGCTTGCACCCGGGTCTCCAGCGCGCTGCGGGGCGGGGCGCACAGGGGTGAGCCCCTCCCCCTCCCGTCCCCACCAGGCAGCCACACTTGCACATTCTCCCCTGGGTCCTCGGATGACTCCACGGTATAGACCGGCGCTGAGGCTCAGAGAGGCAGAGCGTCCAGCCAGGGTTGCAAAGCCCAGAGGTCCGCAGCACAGAATGAGGAGAGGAGGAAAGAGAGGCTCGGTCCTCGAGTGAAACGGATTTGGCTCCAGTAGAGGAAAGAGGTGTGGGTGGGAGGAACATGCCAGCAAACAGGTAGCCACGATCAAATCCCAAATCCGTTCGCCCTTTGATCCAGCTGTCCCCTCTCAGAAAGCAATGTCCAGGGAGCAAGGACAAGAATGCCCGTTGAGGGCTTGTAATTCGGTAAAACGAAATAGCCCAAATGCCCAACAGCCAGGTCTGGCTGAGTCTGTTCTGTTTGGTGTTCCTGGAAACACTCGAGTCACGAAGAGGAAGAAGGCAGAGCCATTTGCACAGAACTGGAAAGGTGCCCAGGACTTGGCAAGGAACGACCTTGGCACACCGATGCCTCTCTAGTCTAACCCCACATGTGGGAGGAGAAAACAGAGAGAAAGAAAAAAGTGTGAACGTAAATGTAGAGGGTTGCAGGTGAACTTACAGGAAAAGTCACAGAAAAACATGTGGAAGGACACTGGGTGCCTCTGTTGTAGAAAGAGTGAAAGAAAACCCACGAAGTGCAGTGCTTTCTGCAGAGCAGGTTTGAGTGGGTGGAGATGGAGAGGAGGAAGAGGGGCTGGGTGCAGGGGACCGACTTTCCCTTTCATTTTATACATGTCTCCATTGTCTGATGATATAAGCATGAGGCATTTTTGTAATGAGAAAAAAAATAAGTTTTTAAAAAGAAAGAGGCTTTTGACTCAGCTCTTCCACGTTTGGCGTTTTCTCCCACAGATTGGCTCACGTGTGTGCAATGAGATGTGAAATGCTATTCATTGTATCACTGGCTGCAACTGTAAAACACTGGAAACTGCCTGGCAGGTGTGGCTCAGTGGACTGAGCCTGGTTCTATGGACCCAGAGGTCCCAGTTTGATTCCCAGTCAGGGCACTTTCCGGGGTTGCAGGCTCGATTCCCCAGTAGGGGGCGTGCAGGAGGCAGCCGATGGATGTATCTCTCTCACATCAATGTTTCTCTCTCTCTCCCTTCCTCTCTTTCTCAAAAAATCAATAAAAACATATAAAAAATTGGAAACAACCTCAGTGCCCATTAATTGGGGATGTGGAAATAAACGCAGGGACAGTCGTACCGCAAGCATGCAGCTGGAGGAGAGAATGAGCAAGGGCGTCGTGCCCTTACAGAACCATTTCCAGGTTAACTGGAAAAAACAAAACAAAACCCCACAACCAAGGTGCAGTCGAGTGGAATGCTACATTTGGGTTTAAATAGGGCAGAAAGTCACTATTCATAGATATTTATAAGAAATAAATATCAGCTTCTAGAATGTCAGCTCTACCAGGACAGGGATTTAGGTCTATTTGTTCACTTCTGTAGCATCGAGTCTACAACAGCACCTGACATATGGTAATAGCTAAAATAAAATACTTCCTTTTATTCCTCCTCCAAAATATTGTTGGTTGAATGACAGAAGGACACACGAGAAACTAGGAACAGCAGCTACTGCTGCGGGTGGGGGTGGCTGAGGGAAAGGGATAGGAGGGAGAGATTTTCTTATATGTGAGCTTACGCTGACCCTTTCTCCAGACTAAAACACTAAGTCCAGCCAAGGCAGGAGGAATTTCCCCTGGATCCCAAATTATGTTGCAGGAAGAGAGGGAATTTGGGCACACGAGCTTATTGATGACATCCGTCTTCACTGATTTCTAGCCGCCTGGTGCCAGAGTGATGGAAAGCATCCCAGTCCCTGCCCTCTCCCCCCTTGGGGTGGGAGAATAAGAATAAGAAGGTGGCCCTGGCCGGTTTGGCTCAGCGGTTAGAGCGTCGGCCTGCGGTCCGGAGAGACCCGGGTTCGGTTCCCGCTAAGGGCATGTACCTCGGTTGCAGTTTATCCCCGGCCCTGGTTGGGTCGTGTGGGTGGCAACCACTCGATGTGTCGCTTTCACGTCGATGTTTCTCTCTCTCTCTCTCCCTCCCACTCTATCTGAACAAAATATCGAAAAATGTCCTCGGGTGAGGATAAAAAAAATAAAAATAAAAAAAAAAAGAATAAGAAGATGGCCCTGGCCGGTTTGGCTCAGCGGTTGGAGGGTCGGCCTGCGGTACAGAGAGATCCGGGTTCGGTTCCCGCTAAGGGCACGTACCTCGGTTGCAGTTTGTCCCCGGTCCTGGTTGGTCGTGCGGGTGGCAGCCACTCGATGTGTCCCTTTCACATCGATGTTTCTCCCTCTCTCTGTTCCTCTCTCTCCCTCCCGCTCTGTCTGAACAAAAAATGGAAAAATGTCCTCGGGTGAGGATAAAAAAAAAAAAAAGAATAAGAAGGTGACAAACTATCATTAACTGCTCCTAGCCCAGAGGGAGCTGGGCCATCCTTATGGCCTTATCTTGACCGGGCACGCGAGCAACAATAACGTCTCGCCCTGGACACAGGCCTGTGGCTGCCTCTGTGTGTGGGTTTTTGCCTCCTTCAGCACCCTGACCTCGGCAGTATTTTCTCTACTCAGCTCGAAACTGAGATGAAATCAGCCTCAGATGTCTGCCTTAGCTACACCCCATGACTCTTTTTCTTTGTAATTTAAAGGGTGTTCCCCTCCTGTGTATTTGCTATAAATGCAGAGACTCTCCCCCAGTGCAGACAAGAGACTGGCAACCAGTTGCTTCTGGGAATGAGATCAAACCTATTTATTTACAAATAAGTAAATCAAATTAAAATTTACAGGGCAAATTGTATGGTATGTAAATTGTAGCTCAATAAAGCTGTTAAAATTTATAAAATAAATAAATGGAGAAAAGAAGAAAAGAAAGAAGAAAGAGGGAAGGAAGGAAGGAAGGAAGGAAGGAAGGAAGGAAGGAAGGAAGGAAGGGAAGGAAGGGAGGGAAGGAAAAAGGAAGAAATAACCAGGGTGTTTGAGCTCCAGGAAAATGCCTGCCCCTGTCCCAGGGCTGGGTAACTAGGCCCTGTACCTGCCTGGTCCCCAGTCCAGCCTCAGCCCAGCCCCAGTGTCCACCTTCGCTCCAAGTTCAGTCTGGTCTCCAAACCTAATTTTAGTTCTTACCCCTGCCCTGGCCTAGTCCCAGCTCTAGCTCTAGACCTAGCCCACAAATTGTCCCTCACTCCAGTCCTAATCCAGACCCCTAGCTCTGTCCCCAGCCCCTGTCCCAGGCACTAGCCCAAGTCCAGCTTTCAACCCTGGCCCTGGCTCCAGCCCTGGCTCTCAGCTGGGGCCCTAGCCCTTCTCTTGGCCCGGTGCCAGTGCCCACCTGTTGTGTCCCTGCAGCCGGTGGAGCTCATGGCCCTGTAGCAACAGCTGCTTCTCCAGCTTGTTGGTGGATAGCGAGGTCTCCAGCATCTGGATCTCCATTCTTGACGTCTGGTTCAGTACCTGCCCGGCAAGCAAGAGAGGGTGGGGGTAGGTAAGCCCTGCAGGAAGCCTGCCCAGCAGCTGCCCACTTGCCCACAGGTTCTGCCATTCCAGAAACTTGCCGATCTGCCCCATCCTCCCAGTAGTTCTTGTGGTTGTTCATTCATTCATTCATTCATTCATTCACGCACTCACTCATAACAGGCCCTAACTGAGCTTATGATCCACTCCCTAAATGTGGTCTTCCCATCACTGCACATGGCAGCTCCATTCCTCCCGCTGCTCAGGCCCCAGGAGGAGGCACCCTTGACCCCACATCTAATCCATCAGCAAGTCCCATCAGCTCTGTCTTCCAAATGGCTACCTCACCACTTCCTTCCCTCTCCATGGCCCCCGCTCTGGCCCTGGCCTTCATCATCTCTTGTCCTGTGTCCTGTGCCAGCTTATTCACAGGGTTCTCTGTTCCCGCCCCTGTCCCCTACTGTCCATGCTCTGCTCAGCAGCCTGAGGCAGCCTTTTAAAATGTGGCCCTTTTATTCAAAATCTTCCTGTGGCTCCCACCTCATGAAGTGTAAAAGCCCAGTTCTCACCATGGCCTGCAAGGCCCTGTGATGCTGTCTGCCCCTATCACCTCTCTGACCCCTTGCCCACCACTCGCCCTATCTCCACCCTGGCCACACTAGCCTTCTTGATGTTCCTGGAGCCTCCCAGCCTGGCCCCTCTCTGGGCCTTTGCACATGCTGTTCTTCCTGTCTGGACTGCTCTCCCAGTAAGGGCTCCAATCCCACCTTCTCAGTGGTGCCTTCCTGGCCTCCCTGTCTAAACCTGCAACTCCTCCCTCTGAGCACTCTCCCCACACCCTCTGTGGTTCTGAGCACTCTCCCCTCACGCTCTGTGGCTCTCATCCATGTTGTTGTCTCCTTAGCACTATTGCTGGCTCACACAGATATGTTATTTATGCTGTTTATGTTCTTTTTTTTTTTTTTTTCTGGTGTGTGCCCCTAGTGGGAACCGAACCCGACACTCTCGGGTCTGCAGGCCAACACTCCAACCGCTGAGCCAAACCGGCCAGGGCTGTTTATGTTTGAAACACCCTAGAAAGGAAGCTCGGCAGGGGTCCGGATGCATCCTGTTTTACTTAGTGCTTAAGCTAGAACCAGGCACCTCCAGCAGTGCTTGGCACATAGTAGGGGTTCAACACATGTGCCCATTGGTCAGTTGCCTTTTCATCCGTTTACTTGCCCTCCCATTTATACAGCTGTCTCCTCTCTGTCACTGGCCCCGAGGCCCAGTGAATTGTTTATTATCCATCTCCCCTGGAGCACTGTGAGCCCCCTGAGGGCACAGGCCTGGGCACTGGAGTCACAGAGGCCAAGGAGCCAAACCCAGTGTCACCCCTAGGACTCATGGCCTGGTGGGAGACGGTTTTGTGACAGGGTCATCGGGAGGGGCCGCAGGAGGATACAGGCCCAGGGGAGGCTCTGACATTACCCAGGAACAGAGGTCAAGGCCCCCGCCGCCCGCTCACCGGTGGTACCTGCGCCTCCATGGCAGTCAGCTTGCGCGTCTGGGCAGTGGTCTGGTTCAGGAGGCTGGTGCCCAGCTCCAGCATGGTGGCCGTCTGGTTCTGGACTATGTGCTGCTGTGCCTGCGCCAGCTCCGACCTCAGGTTCCTCTGGATGTACCTTTCCAGCTGTGGAGAGACCGTGGGCTGAGGTTACAGGCAGGGCTGGGGGAAGGCTGCTGTCCCTCCGTGCATCTCCATGAAGGACATACAACAGCCAGGAGAGGCCTTCCTGCCATGCCAGGCCACCATTACCTGTCGCTTGGACTGTTCCAACAGCTTTCTCCTGGCCTTTCTGCCTCCACTCTCGTCCCTCTCTGCCGAGGTCATCCTCCACTCAGTAGCCAGAGGGATCCCGTTAAACCTAAGTCAAATCACATTCTTCCTCTGCTCAAAACCCTCCTAAGTTTCCTATCTTACTCTGAGGAAAAGCCAAAGTCTGCTGTGACTGCAGCTGGCTGTATGACCCGGCCTTCTGCTACCGCTCTGATTTTCTCTCAGTCCTCTCTTCCTCACTCACTCAGAGGCACTGGCCTCTATGGCAGCCCTCCAACATAGCAAGCATGTGCTCACCTCAGGACCTTTGCACGTGCTGTTCCCTCTGTCTGGAAACCCCTCTCTCCACCATCCCCATCGGCATGGCTCACTCCCTTATGTCATTTCAGGTCTCTTCTTACCACTTATCAACCCCTGACTTTATAGTACACATTTATCTGTCTATTGACTGTTTTGCCCTTGGAACGTCAATTCCATGAAGCCAGGGACTTGGTCCTGCTCACCACTTTACCTCCATGTCTAGCACAATGCTTAACGCACACTGGGTGCTCAATAAATATGAGTTCAATGAATTGATAGAAAAGGGGGAGCAGCAAGGGTCAGAGCATAGCCCCCAAAGTCATGCCCATTATCTAGCTCCCCAGGGGAGAGCCAGCGGCAGAGTAGGGACATGTCTTCTCCAGTATAAGAGTTTGCAGGTCTGTCTGACAAACCGGACTTTTTATTTTCCTGGCCTTTTCCCCCTGCTGAAGAGGGCTGATCCGGAAGTCTCCAAGGGTTCTCCCAGCTGGAGTGTTCTGGGATCTGACAAGGTAACATTCATTTCTTTGACAGAGCATCTTTTTCCCCAAAAGCGGGAGAAGCCAGTCTGGCAGTGGCACCAGGATCAAGTTGCAAGGGGGAATAGTGTGTTCTCAGGGCTCAGTGCCCCTCCCGCACTCCCTCTCCACTCTGCACATATGCTGGCCTCTTGCCGCCCCCCCCCCCCCCCTACACACACTTCCAGCTTCTTTCCTCACTCTCTCTCTGTCTTCCAGGAGGTCCCACAGGGCAGCTCCCAGGGTCCTGGGGAAGGCTGGTTCTCCCCAGGGAGAGGTGGTAACCTCGGCTGGAGGGCCAGGCTCTGGCTGCTTCCCCCTTCATCTCTTCTCCCCTCTTCCACTTCAATTATCTGCTCCCATCTCTTCCTCCCCGGAGTGCTTTAGGAGCACATTCCATTGTAGTGCATGGTCAAATCCAGAAGAGGGCGCATGTGGGCACACTGGTATTGATTAGAACAGTGGTTCTCAAAGTGTGGTCCTTGGAGCAGCATCACTGGGAGCTTGTTAGAAATGCACATTTCTAGGTCTCACCCAACCTACTGAATCAGAAACTCTGAGGTGGCATCCAGCCATCTGGGTGAAACTGATACTCACTTAAGTGTGAGGACCCTGAGTGTGGAGGTCACAAAGTAGACTGAGGACCAGGGAGACAAGCACTTCTGAGCTTCTCCAGCTTCAGTCCCCTTAGTGCCCCCTTCTTCCCCTGCATCCTCAGCCCCTCACCACTGTCCCCTGCAACACACAAACATGCTTCAGTAGCTCCCATTTACAAAGTGAAGAAAAGGCCAGGCTGGTGTGGCTCAGTTGGTTGGGAGTCATCCTGTGCACCAAAAGGCCACTGGTTCGATTCCTGGTCAGAGCACATGCTCAGGTTGTGGGCTCGATCCCCCGTAGGGCATGTGCAGGAGGCAGCTGATTGATGTTTTCCTCTCACACTGATGTTTCTGTCTCTTTCTCTTTCCCTCTAAAAATTAATAAAAAATATCCGGACTCCACAGACCCCTTCAATGCTGCCTCCAATTTTTTTGCTCCCCACAACAATACAACTTTTTGAACAAATTGTCTACATGTTCTCACCTCCATTTTCACCCTCATCTTTATCCTCACCCGAGGACATTTTTTTTCCCATTTTTTTGTTCAGGTAGAGTGGGAGGGAGAGAGAGGAACAGAGAGAGAGAGAAACATCGATGTGAAAGGAACACATCGAGTGGCTGCCACCCGCACGACCGACCAGGGCCGGGGACAAACTGCAACCGAGGTACATGCTCTTAGCGGGAACCGAACCCGGGTCTCTCAGGACCGTAGGTCGACGCTCTAACCGCTGAGCCAAACTGGCCAGGGCTCACCCTCATCTTTATATATATATATATCCTCACCCGAGGACATTTTTCCATTTTTTGTTCAGATAGAGTGGAAGGGAGAGAGAGGAAGAGAGAGAAAAACATCGACGTGAAAGGGACACATCGAGTGGCTGCCACCCACACGACCAACCAGGGCTGGGGACAAACTGCAACCGAGGTACGTGCCCTTAGCGGGAACCAAACCAGGGTCTCTCTGGACCACAGGACGACTCTCTAACCGCTGAGCCAAACTGGCCAGGGCTATATATTTTTTTTTTAATTGATTTTTTTTTTAGAGAGAGAGGGAGAGTTAGGAACATCGATCGGTTGTCTCCTGCATACCCCCCACTGGGGATGGAGCCCTCAACCCGGGCATGTGCCCTGACCAGGAATCGAACCAGGACCTCTCAGTCCAAGGGACGACACTTAGTCCACTGAGGCACACCAGCTGGGCTCTCACCCTCATCTTAAAAAAAATGTAACATTACTATGGTGTACTTTATACACACACACACACACACAGCATAAAGAATAATATGTTAAAGCTGTATATTTACCACACTCAAGAAAAAATATCACCCATCCTGTTGAATCCTGTGCAAATGCCCAGCCTGTCTCCCCAGCCCAGGAGCCCTTCACTCTTTAAACTGCCTTGTTCTGGCCTCCTTGACAAGGCAGGGGCAAGGGACACGTCTGTGTTCTCATCTTAGACTGTCTCAGCAGCAGTTAACCAAGGTGACCACTCCCTTCCCCTGGTTTTCCTTCGTTCTCGCCCGTCACCTCCGCTCTGAGTCCTAACCAGGTTCCTGCACACTGGGGAGGCTCATAGGCCATCCTGGGCCCTTGTCTCTCTGAACGTTCTCTCCCTGGGTCCCAGGTCCTTAACGGGGACCGCAGGGTCTGTGAAGAGAATTCAGGGGGTCCATGAACATGGGTGAGAAAAAAAGACCTTTTTTGTCTACTAACCTGTAATTAAAATTCAGCATTTCCTTCAATTATGAACACAGGCCGTAAATCATAGCACTTTTAGCCAATCCTGGGGCTTCATTACCAATAGAAATCACACACAATTTCATATCACAACACACGTGTTGCAGTATCTTAAAACACTATTTTTACTCATGACTCTGGAATTATGAACATTCTCAAACCCACCACTGGATAATGCTACAGCTAGAGCGCAGATTTAATGGGAATATTCTGATTACAGCTGCAACATCACTGGGTGTGTTCTTATGTTTTTATTTCTTGCATTTGAAAGTATTATCCTGCCCTGGCTGGTTTGGCTCAGCGGTTAGAGCATTGGCCCACGGACCAGAGAGACCCGGGTTCAGTTCCCGTTAAGGGCATGTGCCTCAGTAGCAGTTTGTTCCCAGCCTTGGTTGTGGTCGTGTGGGTGGCAACCAGTCAATGTATCTCTCTCATCGATGTTTCTCTCTCTCTCTTCTCCCTCTCTCCCTCCTACTCTATCTGAAGATAAATGCAAAAAAAAAAAAAAAAAAAAAAAATGTCCTCAGGTGAGGATAAAAAAAAAAAAAGTATTATTCTGAAAAGGGATCCATGAGCTCTACCCAGGATCAGATGCCAAAGTGTCTAAAGCTCCGCACTGGGGTCCTGTAGCAGGGGTGCTGTGGGTCCCAGGACTTTCATACCCCTCCATGCTGATGGCGCCCCCTTCCTCTCCCACCCAGACTTCTCCCTGAATGTCAGACCCACTCGTTGGGTTTCTAACCAGCATCTCAAGCAAAAGCACCCAACATGGTACCCTCGATTCCTCAGCTCCCACTGACCTGCCCCTGCATCCCCAACCTCTTGGCAAATGACCTTGCTCAGTTCTTAAGCCCCCAACCCAGACCTCACCCTGGACTCTTATTTTCCTCAACTGTCTCACTCAATGCACTAGTAAGTTTTGGCCACTATGATCCCGGTGAGAGTTTTGAATTGGCCCACTTCCCTCTGCCCCGGGCCAGGCTACCTTCATCGCCGCGAGTCAGACCCTTGCGCCCTCCCCCCGCATCTTGGTCAGCTCCCCGGGATTCGAACATGTGGCTGGCCAGGGTGGATGAGGATAAGCAGAGCTATACTGAGGCTGCTCTTGGACTTTCCTGTGAGTCATGAACCTCCTGGGGTTAAAAATGCAGACTCCTAGGCCCTGAGCTTCTGCAGCAAGTTCATTCCTGCCACTAGACCTTCTCAGGCATCCTCCAAGCCTCTCATTTGCAGATTAACAAACCGAGGCCCAGAAGACTTGCCCAAGGTCATTACTTGGTGGACTAGGTTCCAAGACTTCTTGCTCAGGGACTTCTTCAGGTCTGCAGAGCTGGGTGGGATCTCAGGGTGACCTGGGGTCATCTTGAGTGACAGGAGCTCCCCCAGCACCCTCACTGGTCTCTCCCTTGTCCTTTGGCTGCAAGTAGCTGGGTGGGACAGAGGCCACCCGCGGCTGGGGCTCATCATCCAGTTTGCCCCCCTCCCCCCCGCATGAGCTCCGGGGTGGGTAATCCAGGCCAGATGGGCCCAGTTTGGCCAAGGTGGGGCTCCGTGACTATTGTCAGCCTGTGTGGTGGAGGTTGGGTCTATTCCAGGGCTCAGGAGCCAGCTGAAAGGGTAGGGGAAGGACCCCAAAGTAGGCACCCACAGGGGATGAGGTCTGCCACAGCCTCCCCATCGGACCTGCCCCTTCCCTGTCATC